GAGAGAAAGAAACATCCATGCCTTGTCCAGGATTCGAACCCAGGACCTTTCTGATGCGAGGTTAGTTCCCTGCCCCCTACACAGACCAGTCGGCTTACAGCATCACTACTTTTGTAAAAAGAATGATCCCGATTGAGATTGGGTATAAGTTAAACATGAAAATAGAGGAACATTTTTTTATAGTTGATGTACTCATGGTGGCTTATCAAATGATAAGAACCAATGACAATCGAATTGAATCAAGGAAAGAAAAAAATTCCTACTGTAGCATAATTGCTTATTATTATTCTCTTTTCATTCAGAATGTTAGGCATATGAATATTTTTAGAAAAATTGCGAAGCTTTCTTACGTTTAAATTGGCATTTTTAATATTATTATTTAAAAGGAAAAAAAATTCTTATTAAACTGCAACTAATGTTTTTTTTTTAGCTTATTGATTTATACCATTTTGAGTAGCATAAAAACTTTTTACTTTTTCTTTTGTTCCTTCTAAAACTATAAACATGATTAATTAATAAGCATTATGTAAAATTCGGTTAAGCAAAAATACACTTTGAAGAAACAAAAGTAAAACGAACAAGTGTCAGCTTTTGTGACAACAGAATAAAAACTTTTTCAAGAACATTAATAAAGTTTGGCAAAAAGAAATAATTGATATATAAGCACTGCTCAAAAAAAGTTTTTTTTATCATATCCTTTCTTCATTTTAATAGCAAAAAACTACAAACAAAAGTTTTATACATTAACGACACATACCACTTGATTAATGAACCAAGTTATAGCTCAATTATGAAAAAAATGATAGGAAAAAATGACAAAGAAGCGTTGAAATGAACATTTAGTATGATAAAAAAGCGGAAAATTAAAATAATGGTAAGTTTTCTAAAGAAAGCGGATTGATGAAAAAAAAAAGCTTCAATTACCCTAAAAGGATGAAAAAAGGTTCCTAATTTTGTAGGATGGAGATTTCTATTTAATTATTGAATGTCTCTAATTTTCATTGTTAATTAATGTTAAATAAGAGACTGTTTTCTGAATTAATGTAGAAGAGTTTCGGATTATTTTTTTGTTTTGATCAAAATCATGTGTTTAAGAAATATATTTTAGCATAATAATTTTGTTTACATTTTTGTTCTGGTGTGAAACTAAAAATTAATTATCTAATAACTAGCGTGCACAAATGTATTTAAAATAGTTAAGATCCAAATTGTAATTGCAATTTTTAAGAAACCGTAATTTTCAATTATATTCGAAACACATCCGTGAAACAGTAATTTTATTCTGCTTAGTTAATGTTCAATAGGAAATAGTTCTCTAAATAACTCTGAAATAATTTCAGATTTTCTTTCTACTTCTATCAAAGCAATATGCATCCCGCAGGGGACTGATCGTTAAGACACGGTTCCCAGCAGATCACCGAAGTCAAGCATCACTGGCTGCAGTCAGTTTGCGGGTGGGTGACCACTTGGATTAGTCTGCGTAGGGACCGAGGGTGTGCATTATTGGTCCTCGTTAAACTGTTCTACCGTAAAGTGCTCAACTTCGCGTGCAGGTCATCGGGCTACCGAAGCGTATGTGCCATCCCCTCTGCAGAGGATCAAAATTGTGATAGCATGTCTTCAGATCATCCTCTGGGATGTTTCTTAGATCGTCGCCAACAACCCATTGTGCAGCTCTAGTGCGACGTAAATTAACTACAACTACAACAACCTAGACAGTGGGAACTTCTAAAATGAGATGTAGGATACTGTGGTCCAGAGGTGCAGAATTTGTTATTTAAAACTAATGGGAAACTTATGTACTCCCTTAGTGTTGGTCCCCATTTCAGACTTCAGAGCCGATTCTGGTGCCAATAGTCAAATAAGGTTAGGCAATATGCATAAGGCAATATGCATAAAATGCACTAGGCAATATGCACTAGGCAATATGCATAAAAAAGATATATTTCGTTTGACATTTTGGTCTGCTGTTAACTCAAATCTAACTATTATTAACGGAAGTAAATTAGTTTAAATAGATTTTATAAGCAAAATGGGAAAAACTCTGAATTGTCCGTGAAACCATATTATTCAATTAACAAAAACAATTAATGAAAATGTAAATTTCAACCATTCATGAAACTATAATTTCCAATTGTTCCAGATTTTATAAACTTTTTCACCTGATGCTCATTCTGTTTTCACAAAGTAGTCGTTAATTAATTTTTTAGAGTAGATATCGTTTATTTATTTTAGCTTTTCTATTACTTTTCTTTGTTTGCAGATTGATACATTACAAGTGTAATGCTAGAGGAAGTAATTTAAATTAGTTCAAAAATTATATTTCAATTACTTTGATTTGTGGAAAAAATTAATTTTAACAAAATATTTTGCTTACTATTTTGGTTTGATATAAACTAAAAGAAAATTAATTATAACAAAAGTATAAGAGTTTAAATAAATTTTACCGTCTAAACTGGATACGCGTGAATTGTTATGTTTCTCAAAGTTATTTCACCCCTAAAGAAAGCTTAAAATGACAAATGTCATTCATGTCAATGCATGCAGTTAATAACAGAATATAGATTTTGAATTGTAAAGAGATTTTTCATATTTCTTACTTAAGAAAACTGTGATGCTTGGCAGACTTTAGTTTTAATTTACGAAAAAGGTACTATGCTTCAACGTAAGAAATTCCGGATCAAATTACGCTACGAAGTACCGGCACTTTGGAGGGAGTATCCGTAAATTCCATTTTTACTGTAAAATATTATATTACGCTATAATTTTAATGACATGATTTGAATGTTATTAAAGACATTATAAGCATGGAATTTAAATTAAATCTATGCTATTTAATTAGAGTGACTCAGTGATTTTATGGTTTTTATTACTCACCTTTTTTGCATCATGGCGTGTGGATTTTACATTAAAAAATACCGGCATTCAGAGTGTCGGTACTTTTTGCTGTAGTTTAGTCCCTAATTATTTATATTATAAATCAGGGGTTTCCACCTTACATGAGGCTTGGGGCCACAATTAAAAACTCCAGCCAAATGGCGGGTCGCAACATTATCGGAATTCATATAGGACACATTTATGTTATGAGGAATATTAAATATTACTGTGGGATTTTCATCAAGTTGTACAAAACAAAAGTATTGAATTACAAATTAAAATAAAAAGTAGATTTTTAAATATATTTAATTGCATAGTAAACAATTCTGGCTACAATAACTTTAATGTGAACACATGTATTAAACAATTAGGGATATCAAACTGCTAAAGGCTTGGTTTCTTAGGACCGGACGCCGTCAGCTGGAAATCAGCGCTAACCTCTGATTGGTCCATTTGTGAGTTTGATAGTATGCGTCATCGAACGCTCATCTTGAACTACAATTGCCGTCCAACTCAACTGCAGTTGGATTACAACGTGACNCACTTGGATCAGTCTGCGTAGGGACCGAGGGTGTGCGGTATTGGTCCTCGTTAAACTGCTCTATCGTAAAGTGCTCGACTTCGCATGCAGGTCGTCGGGCTACCGAAGCGGGGGTGCCATCCCCTCCGCAGAGGATCAAAATTGTGATGGCATGCCTTCGGATCATCCTCAGGGATGAATAGCCCATTGTGCAGCTCTAGTGCGACGTAAATTAACAACAACAACAACAAAGCAATATGCATAAAAAAGGTATATTTCGGTGAAATTATTTTGTTTGGCATTTTGGTCTGCTGTTATCTCAAATCTAACTATTATTAACGGAAGTAAATTAGTTTAAATAGATTTTATAAGCAAAATGGGAAAAGCTCTGAATTGTCCGTGACACCATATTATTCAATTAACAAAAACAATTAATGAAAATTTAAATTTCAATCATTCGTGAAACTATAATTTTCAATTGTTCCAGATTTTAAAAACTTTTTCGCCTGATGCTCATTCTGTTTTCACAAAGTAGTCTTTAATCTATTTTTTAGCGTAGACATCATTTATTTATTTTAGCTTTTCTATTACTTTTCTTTGTTTGCAGGTCGATACATTACAAGTACAGCGCTAGAGGAAGTAGTTTAAATTAGTTCAAAAATTATAATTCAAATATTTTGATTTGTGGAAAAAATTATTTTAGCAAAACATTTTGCTTATTATTTTGGTTTGATATAAACTAAAAGAAAATTAATTATAACAAAAGTATATGAGTTTAAATACATTTTACCATCTAAACTGTATAAGGATAAATTGTTATGTTTCCCAAAGTTGTTTCCCCCCTAAAGAAAGCTTAAAATGGCAAAGGTCATTCAGCAATGCTTGTAGTAAATGACAGATTATAAATTTCGAATTGTAAAGCTATTTTTCATATTTCTTATTTGAAAAATTATAATGGTTGAAAGACTTTAGTTTTAATTTACGAAAAAGGTAATATGCTTTAACTTAAGAAATTCCGGATCAAATTACGGTACGAAGTAACGGCACGTTGGAGGGAGTATCCGTAAAATCAATTTTACCTTAAAATATTACCTTACGCTATATTTTTAATGGCATGCTTTGAACGTTATTAAAAACACTATAATTACTGAACTTAAATTAAATCTATGCTGCTTAATTAGAGTGATTCAGTGATTTTATGGTATTTATTATTGATAAAAATTACGGTTATCACCTTTTTCTCTTCATGACGTGTGGATTTTACAGTAAAAAATACCGGCATTCGTAGTGTCGGTACTTTCTACCGTAATTTAGTCCATAATTATTTATATTATAAATCAGAGGTTTCCAACTTACACGAGGCTGGGGGCCACAATTAAAAACACCAGTCAAATGGCGGGCCGCAAAAAAATGGCAACTAATATATTTTAGTTCGCGGCCCACCAAAAAAGGCTTCGCTGGTCGGATGCGGCCCACGGGCCACCAGTTGGTAACCACTGTTATAAATCATGCTATGGACACACAAGGTTTGATATAAATATGCAAATGTATGATAAGTTAATGTTATTACTCTATATAAAGAGTATTTTATATTTCCACTTACCGAAGACAGTGAGGTTCACGAAAAAGCTTATTTTGGGATCTGAGCTCACTTGACATTCGTAAGGTCCTTCATCTTTGAGCTGGGTGAATTTTATTTGTAGAGTCCAGTCATTAGAATTGTGCACATGGAGGGCCTGGAAGCGTTCATCACTTGTATACGTGTCCATTCCAACAGTCAGAACATGAAAATCTTTCCGGCGGATCCAAGACACCTACATCAAACAAGAAGAATAAGTATGTTAATTGAAAAGGGACAAAGAACATAATCTTTATTTAATTTTGTTACATTAAGGAGTTTTTATTTTATTTAATCGAGAAAAAATATTAGCGTTACATATAGAACGAATACATCATATCAGAGCTATTGTTTGAAGGCATCACTTTATCAAGTAACACTAATGTAAAGAAATACTAAAGGATAGGCAACATTTAAAAAGGCTAGAATGATTCAAATACTATAAAAAAAATTCCTTACAAAATAGCGGTGAAAAGTTAAGTCACTAAGGGTGCCAGTACTTTTTTTCCCATATAATGATTTCATTCATCATTTCCCTTGAAAATTAATATCCAATCCATAAAATCCTGTTTCAAGGAACAAAAAAAAGCTGATGCACAGTATTGTATGCAGTAATATTTACAGAAAATCCTGAATCGCTGTAACTAAATAAATATTTTTGTGAAAATTACGGATCAAAATTTTAAGATAAAAATTTACTTTAGAGTCACTCAGGGTGCCAGTACTTTTTTTCCCATATAATGATTTCATTCATCATTTCCCTTGAAAATTAAAATCCAATCCATAAAATCCTGTTTCAAGGAACAAAAAAAAGCTGATGTACAGTATTGTATACAGTAATATTTACTGAAAATACTGAATCGCTGTAACTAAATAAATATTTTTGTGAAAATTACAGATCAAAATTTTAAGATAAAAATTTATTTTAGAGTAACATAGATTTTGCAGATGCTAACTTCAAGGTGCTAGTACTTTTAACATAATTTGATCCAGAATTTTTAATAGAAAACTTTCAATTGTTAAAATAAAATTTCAAAACAAATGATTTTTAGTTCCATTTTTTACTATTGCGATTACATGTAAAGGGTTTATAATTAATTTGTTCATTTCTAAGATTTAATAAAAATATAGATCAGCTAAAATTTCGAGTGAAACACAAAGAAAAAAAAATTACCAATAGTTAATATCTTAATAAATTTAATAATCAATAAATAAGTACAACTCTCTTTTTAATTGCTCATACCTGAAATTTTTATTCTTTCGGAAGCAAAATATATAGAATTTGAACCATTTATTTGGTAATTTTTCCGTATCCAGCAAAAATGGAATTCACTGGAAATTCTGATAGTTCTTATTAGCACATATTTAGGAATAATTAAAAAACTGAAAAGTGAATTTAATCGAATAAAGGGTATTTGTGCCATACTCTAAAGTATCATGATAAAATTACCAAATTTTATCACAGATTATAAAATCATATTTATTGCTAATTTTACTAATATCCTAAACATAATGATCCGCTAAAAATTAGAAAGCTTTTTGGTGTTCGCAAAGAGGCAGTAACGCAATAAATTTAGTCATATTCTGGAATTTTTTACCAAATACGTTTTCGTTGTGTACAATTATTTACAAAGAAAAAGTGAGAAGAGATAAATTTTTAAATTCCTTTATAAAACAATATACGAATATAATACAATTTTAAACTTAATAATAATCATTTGCAAACCAAAATTGTAATTGATTGTAAAAATAAATGAGAAGGTTATTGTAATATCATTTAACTAATTCGCTATTATCTGTTAAAAAATTTAGATCTCTTATTCTTATCATTGACTGTTTTAAACCCTGTGTGTATGTGTAAACACCAGTCAGCAGCAAAATAAAATTTGCTTTTGTTGAGCAAGCACTTTTACAATTACGACTAAATAAAATTTCTGAGAAACCCTTGATGTAAACAAATTGAGTCCAAAAAAATAGGTAATGGATTTGTCTATTAAGTAAAAATTTCTGATGAATCTAAAAAGTCTAATATGATGTAATTTTTGTCATTCTCATAAATGTTTAAATGTACATTGAGTTACATACAATTTAAGATCTATAAACTTTTTGAAAATTAAAAAAAGGAATTGTATGTTGAGAAGAAGTGCGTGGTCAAAACTAATAGAACATGGTATTGCTGACTGTATGAGAACACCAAGAAACTCATTAATTTTCTCCGAAGCACTTTGGTAATGATTTTGGTATAGTTAACAATAAAATACCGTTTTATAATGTACGGTAAAAGTGGTAAAATTTGCTAGTTTTATAATGATAACCTAGAACATAGTGTAAAAACCAATTACTTGGAAAAATTTTACTCGTTATTTTTTTTTTTTTTTAGTAAATGTGTGGTAATAATAACTACAATTTTGCAAACGGGAATTTCCAGTGAATCGTTAAAATATGAATGAAAAAATTATCAAATGTATGGTTCAAATACCGTGTATTTTGGCTTTATGAACCAGATTAATAATTCTTTCCTTAATAAAAAAGTAATTACAATACTGTAAGTAAATTTCATCAAAATATTTTTTGCTCCGTGTATCAGTTTAGGAATTTTACACTATTAGTATTTTTTATAAACATCACTGACCTTCGTATATTTCGCTAATTAAATTTTTTAAATAAAAAGACATGTGCTGCGTTATATTGAAAAATGAGGGAAATGAACTAAATTGTGAAATATCGCAAGCCAGGGTGCTTTAATAAAGATTCAAAACTTAACCTTAATTTTTCAAGTTTCATTGCATTCATTAATTGGTAGTTGAATTGATATAATCGATTGTCGTAATTTCTGGCAAACCCATGAAAAAAATCACCGATGTTCTTTTCTTTATAGATATTTATTTCAAACCACGTGTATATGGTTGCTAATAGATTAAGTAAATTTTTTTTATAAAAAAGATTTCATGTATTAAAAAATAAACCAAAATCTTTACCTCCGGAGCTTTTATTAGAACTGAAAGTGTTATTTTTTAAGGTTCGCCAAAAACATTCCTTGAAATCCCCATACACGTGTTTGGCACCGATAACAAAGTTTTTGAACAACGATCAATAGCCCAGTGGGGTATTTTGGCTTCTAAACATGTCTTATTAATATTTTTGAAGCCAACATGGATTTACACTTTGAAAACTCTTTGATTTTTCATTTATTCTTTTTTAGAATGAATAGTAAAGAAAAGAAAGACGGGCATGTCCTTTACAGCTGCCATCATTTATTTTCTTTTTGGATAATCGTAGAAGCATAGAAAGGGCTAGAGTTTTTTCCAACGATTAATTTATTTAAATTGTGAGGAAAGATCTTTGATTTATTGGCGACAAAGGCTTTTAGCTCAGTTGACAAACCTGAGAATAACGATCTAAAAAAATAGTTCACAAATTGCCCGCTTAAAGAATACTACTTTGTATTCAAAATCTTTTGCCTTTTTTGCCAAACGAGAACTCTATTTATGTCTTTGAAATCATTTGCATACAGATTAAATATTTCTAAAATGCGTTTCTTACTAATGTCAAAAAAGTATACTTGGTTGTATTTTAAAATTCAATATTAATATAAAAATTTTGCAAGAAATTCTATTTTGAATGATTGTCTAAAAATGAATATGGTACAACGATATGAGTATTAAATTTACTTTGATTATACTATATATGCTGCTAATTCTCTCTCTCTCTCTCTCTCTCTCTCTCTCTCTCTCTCTATATATCTATATATCTATCTATCTATCTATCTATCTATCTATATATCTATCTATCTATC